TTTGTCAAAGATTTTTAAAGGAAATATGCAAATATGTTTCAGCTATGATTGCAATGTTTTTATATCTAATTATTAATTAATTAGGGGTAAAAAATTAGATTACTCAATTGTCTATCAATATTAATTCTACATGATCTTGAATATGATTGTAGATAGTAAAAGCTACGTGAGATGCTTTGATAACTAATACTAAAATATAGGTACGAAGATACGAAGTTCTACTACCGTAGTTAAACTTCATCGACAGTGACAGAAACATTTTAATATTTAGGAGTTTTAGGAAGTTGATAATATTATCTACTGATATAACCTACATACGTAAGTATAAGGTATTAAGGTTTGATATCAATAACTAAATAAAATCATTCTATGATTAGAAATTGTAGGGATTCGATGCAGTAATTTTACGTCTTAGAAAAGCTTTGACTAGCTTTCGTTACTTCAACATAATTAAAATCCTACCGTCAATTAATAATTTTTCAACTTGCTGTGTTGATGTAGCTTTGACTTCATAATGAGAGCATTGACTTATTTCGTCAATTATTTTTTTAATAGAAATTTCATCAATTATTCGCGTTGAGTGTGGTGATGATGACGATGAGGTTTCCAGTGAATCTAAAAATAATGTATAGAAAGGACTAATGTAAAAGGTTTACTCATCAGATTTCTTAGGCAATCGTTCTAAAATTTACTGAATTATTGACGTAGAGTATTCAATATTATATTACCATGGTTATATCAACAATTTTAAATATAAGATGAATTGGAGAGATTAATTTATTTCGACAAAATCAAAATCAAATTATCTAGGTCTTCGATAGTCTATGTCTGTTTCTGATAACAAAGCGGAATCAAAATCAAAATTCTTGGTATTTATTCTAAAAAACTTATATAACCTTACACTTTCGATTGAAATGCTAAGGGTTTTAAGGGTTATTAGTATTGACACTGCTTATGAGATAATGTTATTAACCTCTTACGATTCTAAATCGTCAGAAAAATATCGATTACATTTAACCGCTACTTGCTTACTGTACCAGTAGATTACCTTAAATTTACAATCTTAAAAGATCCTTAGGAATATAATTACACTTAAGTAAAACTGTCCTTTCTCTGGCAATAGACTAAGTTGGTGCTTTCAATCTTGAATTATCCGAAAAATGACTACGTTCAGCGTTGACTTACTAGTATTTGCAATCTACTAACTAGTATTATTTGGAGGCTTTTTTGAATTTTAAGCTATGTAATTAAATTCTCCGGTTATACATTTCTTACAGTTTTTATTTAAGCTAGGGATACAAAACAATTCAACACGTTAAACTGCAGTATGCTATATTTTGTAAATTGGCAATGCTAATCATTTATAACTCTATCTATGCTACGATAAACTGGTAGCCGATACAAGGAATGAGGATATCTTACTTTTTTATTTTAGTTGCCATAATTTAGAAAGATCAACAACATTAAATAAATGATCGATTTTATATATCTTACCAATAATTCCAATTAGCACTACAGGTATGCTAGGATGGTTTTGTTCATTAGCTGTATTGCTTTGATTCAAATATGTGTGAATTTGATTGATATATTCGATTAATTTAGTTAATCCATGGCGATCACGGGTATTATAAACGTAAATTAATGTATCCATCCAACGTGAAAGCTGTAAAGTAAAAATAAGAATTAAAATTAGTTTATCTTACCAACACAATAATAGCATGACTTTGCGATACTTTTGCCCTTTGTAATAAGAAAAAAGAGTATTGATGGGGAAAAAATACAAACGGACAAAGAACTTCATCATTGTAAAATGAAATAGAAAGAATAGACTGTACGACGATCAATAACAAATAAATTGATGATAATGAAGGCGAGGAAGCAATCGGATAAGGTATGGAATAAGATAATACTTAGAATTAGATACAAGTTTAACGATAACTGTTTGCCATAGAACATAGAATATTTTTAGCTATAAATGAATAATGTCTTTTATAGTATGGCGATAATTAATGATAAATTACCCGATTATACTTCAAGATAAATAAATGCGAATGTTTTATTATCAGTTTTGTACACAATTATTTCATCTAAATGTCTTTCATTTAGCTACTACGATTCTTTGAATAATATACCCTACGTAAATATTTCTATAATATGTCAATGAGAATCGGATGTGATTGTTCAAAAGCGATACTAACATTGGGCAACTTTTATAATTAAAACCAAGGGACTACTCTACCACATAAAAATTGTTACCTACAAAGGTTGTAGTACTTTTTTCTACTAACGATTACAATTATTGTGATTGATGAAGTATATTGTTAATTTATTTTGAATATTTGAGATGCAATCAATAGCTCTATCTAGTCATTCTCACCCATATCAAAAGACGGATATAAACGGATCTTAATTGATGATAATTTGAAAATTCTCTTTATAGACCTTTAATCTTAATTACGGTATTAAATACTGATATTTTGGGCAACTTTCTCGAATAAATTAATAGTTTATAAGTCAATAGCACCGAAAGTAAACTATATGTTTTATATTGAATTCAATTGATTTTACTGATATTTTAGTAAGGAATCTTATGTATCAGGGTACAAAATTAGTCAATAAATGGGCTACTGTAGTAAGTTTAGGATAGGGTAATTTCATCTACAAACGGATATTTAATAGTGGATATACTTCCATTTTGTTGTAAATAATTCGTTGAAAGAGTTATTTTGTTCTATTTATATTTACTATAGATATACATTTAATCAATAATTCATAAATGCTTTATCATAATTAATTGATAGCAACTTAAAGTTCACACATTGCTATACTACAGTGTAAGCCAATATTTTTTGCAATGACTGGACGGCTTCTTTCGATCATAATCTACTCAGCAGGGCCAGCTATTATATGCAAATAAAACTATCCTTTACTAAGTTGCATATAATATCATAACGAAGCTTATCATAATTAATAAATACGCCTCGTACAACGGAGGAAATATGCTCAACTCAATGATAATTGATTGCTAGCACGTAATATTAACATTATTTCAGGATTAAATTAATCTTTATTGATAGAGTATCCCTTCACAGCTGATTTATAGGAAGTTCTAAAGTCATCGCACTCGGTTAGAACTAGATCGAATCTTCTCGATAGTGCATCGTATCGTTTTTAATATGTTAAGGCTATAAATACTCATGAAATCAGATCATAGTCGCATGTTTAGGCTAGTTATGAAGCTATGTAAACAGACTAGTTTCATCTTTTAGAGAGCATTAAACCTTATAGGAGAAATATTAACAATCACGTTGCTATTAAAAGATGTTGCTATTTGTTAAGATCTATCAACTTACTTCTTCATTTGGATTGCTATCTTCAATACGTATTAATAACATATGCGCTTTTCCCTCTGTCGTTAATAATTTCTTATAGTGTTTCCTATCGCCTATAAATGAGGATAAGTGGAGCATTGACTCTTTAAATTGTATTATTAATTCGTCAATAGTATACCGAAGTAAATCAGTGGATTGATATCGGTGGAATATTAATTAAAGCCGAAAGCTAGCGCTAAATAATATGAGATACAAATATATTAAATTCCTTTCGTAGAGACAGGAAAATATATCACTCACTTAAATAAATCAACATCATAATCTATCCAATACTAAATTACTCAACATTGATTTGCAGTAGATGAAATTTTCTTCTATAATATCTATTAAAAGAATAACTAGGAGAATGGCTGTTCTTTATACCCTTGATACTATCAGTATCCTCTTAAAAATTGGACTGTTTCAGAGTTAAAACAGTGGGTTTTTTTTAGAGGCAATACCTTAATTAATTAACAGTTTAGTTATTAACATCGGCTAGATCACTATCGTACTCGCTTATAGGAAATGCACCTTTGAAGCCATCTATAATTATACAATTACTATAGCTGAAAATACATATACTTATTACACTATACCGTGAATATAGTTTAGCGCAAAAAGAAGTTGTCGAATATAGCTTAAAGAACATGGATGTAGTGTAGTGTATTCTAGCTTAGCATAACCAGACACATTATTATTTAAAAATTATAAGAGGAAATAAGCATAAAGACTTGATAAAGATTCCTGTCGGATATCCGATTACGAAACGCTATTCTTATCAGTATGTTACTGATTTAGTAGCGATGAGTTTTATCATCATTTGTGTGATATCAAAAGTAAAATCTATTATGGATTATTAAATATCTGCTATAGCAGTTTAGCTTTTCTTACTTCTTACCTTTAATATCTCTATCTTGTCCATTATTTGATTTAACTAATGTTTGTATTAATCGCAATCTATCTTTATAGCTATTTTCGTTACCGCTAACAACCTAAAGTTTAAAAAGTTATTTAATAATGTAATTAATATGTTTGCTACTTATTTACCATATGGATATTCTGATACATTAATACATCACTATATGAAATAATTAAATAATTTAAAATATCTAATTTTACTACTGCTACTGTTATTCATTACCGACTAACTTATAGTATAGTATATTTCCAAATTAGAATTGGCAAATGAAATATTTTAATTAAATAATTAGAGCTTAGGGTATTGTTGTTGCAGTTGATAAAACTAACCAACTAGCTGCTATATAATGTATATATTAAAAGTTATGGTTTAGGCTAGTCTAGTTTACTTTTATACACAACGAGATATTTAATAGAAGAAGAAAACAATTGATTTAGTATTTTAATTTGATAATCTGTCAAAATACATTTGTAGATATTAGAGGTATCTATTCATTAAGGTTAGATATATATCATTAGTGTTCATGACAACCGAGCTGACCATAATTTTATGATACATCTTTTAATATTTCTTTACTGACCATACGAATTTGAGAAATTCCTACAGGTAAATTCCATTCCGGACTATCATTGATATAATCTAAGTGAAAAAAAATTTATTTTAATAATACAATCTACTGAGCTTCTAAATCAGAGTTTAGTACAGGATAGTCAGCAATTTCACATTAAAATAAAAATACTCTTAGACTTTGCTCTCTTGAATCTAGCTGCTTGTATATCTAAATGTATGGTTATATTTAGAATTTATGTCTCATCGTAAAGCTATTTTTGAATAATTAAAATTTTGTGTTTTTATAGCAATCTCTAGCATGGATAGGCATGGTATCTAGATATGGAGCTATAAATAATAAATCAGATGACGAAATTTCATGTTAATTAACATTCTCGCATGTTACTAATCTAAGTCATAATCGCTTGATAATACTACAGATTCCATTTCAGTCATGTTTTCGGCCAACGGGTAGCAATAAATTCTTGATAGAGAATTTTAATGTATTGTCGAAGTATATTACACATTTAGTTTAGTTTATGTCCATTCTGACAATTGCGTTAAATTGTGCAAAGATCTGATATTGCTCATCTTTTAAACTATTCGCATTCCTAACTGAATGGCAATGGTATAGAGAAAGATTAAAATAAGTAAGTAGAGGGTAACATACCAAATAAAAATGTGTTACTAAGACCAACCCAAACTACAATCGAATATCTAGATAGATGCCTGGTGCTTTATTCAGTTACAAATATTCATCGAATTGCAGTAATATTAGTGATCAGAATATAACGTGCGATATAAATTTAGAATACAACACTCAATCCAGACCCAAATTACTATCAGATTTTGAATAAACATTACGGTTTTAGCTTTAATTACAAATATCTATCGAAATAAAATAAATAATCAAAGTATAACATACGATAAAAATTACAAGGTATTGCACAATCTAAGCCTAAAATTGTAATTGAACACTCGGATATATGCTCCAATTTCTGTTTCGTTTACACATATCTTTAGCAAATGCAACAACAAAATTGTGCATGAAATTTTATCATGTTATTGGAGTATATTTTTTAAGTGGGTTCAGCATTGACTTTGATTGTTATGCTATCAGTTCAATATCAAGGGTTAATTAAGAATGTTTTTATTTATCATTTTTAAAGGTGTTTCATTTTAAAACTTGCTTCTAGGATTATTATTATGACTGCAATTTATAATCGAGAATTAGATATGACGAGTAATGCTTGCTATTTTAGAAATTTTACATCAGTAACTGCTGCATACTGTCTAGTAGCAATTTTCTAAAATTGGATTCAAAGACAAAAGGATGCGTAACTAAATGAAATAGTACAAATTAAGACCATGGATGTACTATGAGGCCATTATCTAGTATAGACGATTGAGCGTATGTCACGGTACGAACTACCGTGAAGAAATAGCTATCTAGATTTGGTTAATATAATATAGTGATATTATATTACTAGTTATTTACTATAGGAATTACTCTAATTATAAATGTGTTACAGTAAATTTAATGCTGTGCTGTAATGTGCACTGAAATGATTCTGTGAATGGACATATTGTAGTCCGACTGTGAAAAACTAGTTATCTCACCTAAGTATTTTTATAAGATGGCTTGTGAATGTTAGCTGCTGTAGAAGGGTATATAAGCCCGTCAGATAGTTGAATAACGCAGTTCTCAATTGTCTAGTTAAGTTTAACGTAGAATCAAAGGCGTCTAAATTCTTGTGAGGTAGTTAAGGGATACTGAATTCCGGAAGACTATAGTAATTTAGAGATTTGTTTTACGTTATCCTTGTCACGAAGCTGGTTTGTGACAGCGTATTATTTGTACAGCAGGTCTTCTAAATTTTAATTCTGCTATAATTAGGCAAGATCATTATAAATTGTATGGATAAAGACATAATCATACGATTAGAAGTTACAATATCCGCTGACTCATGACTGGTTTTAGCTATTTATTATAATAGAGTTCCAAGTCAATAGGTACTTGTTTACGATCTAGATTAAATAAGAGTTAATAATTCCTTTTCAATAAATATTCTTTTTCCATTTGATAATTTCTTTTTAAATATTATCGACTCCAATTCGAAGTATTTGGAGAGTTGTTGACATGCTAGTAGCAATCAATAACGGTTGCAATAATAATTTTTCAAGAGTAATTATATTATTGTATTTCCCATTTTATAGGCTTTAATATAGAAAAATCAACGATGTTTAACCTCTAGTCACCTGCTATCCAAAAGTACTACTTAAATTAATTCTGCTTCATAATTATGATGCTTACCGATCATTAAAGTCTCCAATAACAATTAAAGAATGTGAATAAAGTCAATATATTATGCCTTGTGCTGTTTAATCGAATAATCGTCATAATGTCTCCAGATGAAAATAAGTTTGGCTAATATTTGTATGAAATAATTTTTCATCAAAAATTGATCAAATTTTCTATTAGAAATGATGTAAATACATATTCAGTCTTTTCCTGGTCATCTCAGTTATGAAGATTCAATTTTTTTAGTAGATTAATGAAATAAAAATGATACAATCTAAATTGCTTCTAGGATCATTCTAATATACACGTTAACAGTCATGATGATTTAACCAGAAATTATTCAATAGCAAATGTTTCAAAAGATAAGTAAACCATTTCTAAATTCTCTTCGATCTAACATTAACAATCGATAATTTCATATAATTTTCTAGCATAGAAAATAAGTATATGTGATGAAAATCAAAACGATTATCAGGGCCTTCCCGATATATTAAGATAAACACGTATTTATTAGTCCTGACTCCTGATGTGATGGAAATTAAATTTATTTCTAGGTTACTATATACGTGTACTATAACAATTCCTGGTCAGATACATTCATGAAGCTTATAGCTGTTGTCTAGTAATCTAACAGCTGGAAAGTAAACAATTTCTTAATAACAAAAGAGCAATGATTAGCTATTCCTGGCTAGACAACGTTATTAAGATCATACCCATTCTATTTCTGATTACGGTTGTTGATTTAAAATTAAATTACTGGACAGTATGTCTATTTCTAGATGAAGATAGGCTAATAAAATGGTAATTCAGGGCGACTATAGCTATTGTCAATATTATACCTATTCTATTTCTGATCATAACTGTTATCCTAAAATTAAAATACTGGGAAAAGGCAATTTCTAGATGAAGACAGGTCAATAAGTAGCAATTGAAAACTGCTGTCGATATTATTCCTAATCTATTCTAGACTATAGCTGCTTCTAGCCGGATTGCTTCCATTGAGATAAATCTTTGAGGATCGATACTGTTGTTTTCCCGGATTGTGGCCGCTATCTGGTAATAGTATCCACAAACTCGACTCGAATTTTACATAAGAATTAATAGCTTAACAGGTCAATACCAAATATTATACTTTGATGCTAGTTTACTATTCTCTGAGTTGAACACAATTAAACTAACTAAAATAATAGTGAATTAATTTCATTAGGCTATGTGCGTTGATTACTTTCTATTGATGTGCTTGTGTCGATTTGTCTCTTTGAATTAGAAAGCAAAAGTGGAATGCGAATCGATATGAAAACAACCCATCGCAATTTATTTAAATGAAGGAGTTTAATACAGATTAGTGTAAGGCAAAAATTTACAGGTTGAGTAAGACATGGCAAAAAGTAAAGTTCATCACGTCGTGATCATTATAAGCTACTATTACCTTAGATTAATGTATAAATTAATCAAATAAAATGATGATTCATGAGATAGCCTACGATATTAATTGATCGAGTTGTGTTGGTGAAATAGAAGTTATCCCAATTCAAGACTGATAATTTTAAACCTATACTAGCTAATAAAGTGAGTTAGATGGTCGAGCAATGCTAAAGATTGAACAAAAAAGATTACAAGACCTAAAGCCCCAGCTTGTCATTATTATCATAGAAGAATTAAAACAAACAACTGCTCCGGAAGATTACTTGCAATGAATAGGGAAATAAAGATATTCAATAGCCTATTTTGATAGAATGACTTCTATTCCGAAATAGGAAATAGAATCCTTTTCCCACTCCATAGAAATTGATTTAGACTTGGATTAGTGATCAGTGTGAAATAATCAATATGTTATAGCAGGTTAAAAGGTCGATCATGAACGGCCTTACGATTCAAAATCTATCCTATCATTGCTATTATGAGCACTTACATCTCTTCTGATAGATTAATTATAAAGTGAGGAATTATGATACAGGATATTCTACTTGAAGAAGATATTAGCAATTTCTAATTTGATAGTAAGTAATCTACGCAGACCAATACTATTTGATAGGATAAATGTTATTCCGAGGCAATAGATGTAGAGAATTACGATCTAGATTTTATCTAGACTATTGATCAGTGTAACTTAGTTACATTAGGCAACTATGATTTATAGCCAGGTATGCAATGGAGAAAGAAGTTACCATCAGCCTCTATTCGGTCATTGACGATAGGGTTTTCTACTACTATTATATTTACGTTTTACTTTTTTATAACTAAAGAGAAATAAAATCAATTTATACCGATTGATTTGCAATCCACTCAAAAGCACGG